GGTGTGGGGTGGGGGGGGGGGGGGGGGGGGGGGGCACTATTTTTTGTGAGGCACTTGTAATACGTAAATGTATTGTAAGTGTTAAATACAGTGCATGTGCAAATATATGTTTGTATTTTTAGCCGGTAGTTAAAGAAAACCGCTTCGCCAGCCTACTGTTGCTATGGTAACCTCGTAAGACTAACGCATTGTGATACGAGTGATACGTAGTACGTACACTATCTTCTGTGATTAATGACACATTTCAAATCCTTTAAAACGTCTAATTTTCTGTAAGAATAAATACTTTTATCTTCCCAACTTGTTGTTTGGATTTCCCTTGAGGGGTTCAAGCTTTATAAAAAAAAGTAGCTCAGCCCCTCGACCCTAAACCACTACGTTTGCCCTGATAATGTATTTTCTAATGTTAGAGCCAGCGGGAACTGTCGAAATGAACTACAGTAACCCCGGGCTCACTGAAAAGTAATAGTGTGACTGGCTGATCGCACTGTTGCAGTACTAAATAAGCGCGTCTACAAAATAACGTCGTTTTCCGTCCTATTGACGTAAATAAAAACAACAAACGTGAGTATAGCCTATGTTGTATTACGTTACATTGACGTGATGCTGCTTTAGCACGTTTAGCACGTATAACCGGTGTTAAACGTCTTTAATAACAGGAAACCTGCACGGAATCGCACGTTATATATAACATTTGGATGAAGCTATATGCAGCACGCGGCTACATGCGCCTTCTCTCTCTAGAGATGCTGCTATGAACTGTAGTGACCTCGGATAAGGCATGTCCGGGTCCTCCGCTCAATGAACCGCAATTTAACGGAGACAAAATAAACATTCAACTTACACGATTATGACTCTCGCAAGTGCTCGCGACTACGATGTCCGACCTTTATTCTTCTGTCGGATGTCAACCATGTTGACGGAGGAATGAATGGAGTGGTTGGCGGTCTCAGGGAAATGGCATTCCTACCGACGCGGCGCGGCACCGGGACTCGCATCACATCATCCAGCAGCCATTACAGATTGCCACAGTGATCGGTAGTGAGCATGTGCGCCGCGGCGCGGAGAGCGGATTAGCGAGCGCCGTGGCATCATGAGGGCACAGCACACGTTGAGACTGAAAGAAAGAGAGGAAGAGGGGGTGGAGAGGTGGAATGATAAGGAGTCAGAGCAGACGACTCAGCATTCACAATGCCAACTGTGCTATAAAGATTAAGAGCGCTATAATGAACCAGATCACGGGCTGTGAATAATACAAAAATGATAATCGACTTGATAATTAGGCTATCTATCTGTAATACTACCTTCTGTAATATATCTTCACATCTCTCTCTCTCCCTCTCGCCTGTTTGGCGTTGAGAGAAGTCAGGCTACAGTGCTTAACAAATGTATTTATTAGACCACCACCACCACCACCACCACATAATGTAAAACTGTGTCACAGTGCCCTAAACTAACAGTATTGGTGATTACCAAAACCCTTTTTTATATTTCTGTAATGGTTAATCCGACAGTAGGCTATGTGTAAGCTCTTTAGTCACAGTAGATAGTATGATAAAATATAATTATTGTTATCAATTCCCTAAACTAACAGTATTGGTGATTACCAAAACCCTTTTTTATATGTCTGTAATGGTTAATCCGACAGTAGGCTATGTGTAAGCTCTTTAGTCACAGTAGATAGTATGATAAAATATAATTATTGTTATCAATGAATTTTCGAATACTGTTTTACAAGAAAGGCAGGAAAAATAGTAAAGCTGCCTTTCTTGTTAAACAGTAAATTAAAAAAAGCACTTTATTATGTTTTATTCAGATGCCCAATTACAGTCAATAACAGAGACTGTGGAAAAGTACAAAAAAACAAAGCAAGAATGCAAGCTGTTGCCTAATGAGGCCATGCAAAATATTCAGTTTTTTTTGGTTTGTGTGAATAAACACTATTTAGTTGTTTCAGTTTGTTATTTGCCTAATAAAAGACAATAACATTTTTAGTTTGAAGCATGTTTTGGACAGATTTTGTGTTTTCTCCTTATTGGTGATCTAATAAATTTTGTTACGCACATACAGTGCTTAACAAATTTATTGGACTGTATTTATTGACTAAGTGGGCATCTGAATAAAAAAAAAAAATAATAAGGTGCTGTACTATTTTTCTGCCTTTTTTCTAAAACAGTAAATTCTAAAATTCATGGATAACAACAATAATTATATTTTAGCATTATAAACACTACTGTGACTAAAGAGCTTACACATACTGGTGGATTAACCATTACAGAAACATAAAAAATTATTTTGGTAAACACCAATACTGTAAGTTTAGGGCAGCTGTGGCACAAACCTTACATTGACAGGTGGTGGTCAAATAAATTTGTTAAGCACTGTGTGTGTGTGTGTGTGTGTGTGTGTGTGTGCGTGTGTGTGTGAGTGTGTGAATAATTATTTTATAATATTTATTTTTTATATTATTTGTAACAAAATTTATTAAAACAACACTTTAATGAGTTTGTCCTTGTATGATTTTGAATGGAGGTCTTTGAGTTGTATGGAAAAAATGCCCCCAATTTGTGTTTAATTGCAAGAAGATGTGGTTCTCTGCTCTGTGGTTCTATCTATCTCTCCAAAAAAAAAAAAAAAAAAAACGTGGTTAAAAACTGATGACCTTAATCATGCTTTATGGGGAATTATCATCTCCAAACCCCTAGTAATTTCTCCTCATGTGGTGAAGCCACAGCTGGCTCAGCTATTCACTCATGTTGGCGTGAACTTCCCTCCTGTATAAACATATGATTAAGCATCATTTACGGAGTATGATGTAGCATTCAGGGAATATACAGTAAATGTCCATTCAGTAATAAAATACAATAGGTCACACATTAACCCACAACAGCAGTCCCAAAGCAGCTGTCTTGTGGTAAGGTAACCCAAAACAATAGTTTCAAAAACAAGAGTCTCAATAACTGTCCAGTTTTTTGTGTCAAAATCACACATTTTCTGTTTGCATGTTAAGTGAAAACTCATTTGCAAAATTATTGCTAGACACTGCTGACTAAAAGTGAAACAGAGAGATCACTTGTAGACATTTCAGACCTACTACCTATTTACATAAAATGACCATACACAACTTTTAGTGAACAGTCTGTTTATTATAAGACAAAATGTGAAAGAACACATTTAATTACATATTTTATTAATGCAGTGTGTCTGCTACATACAGACTGTAAATCATTTAATTATAAGCATGTGGATGTTTCTATCAGCCTACAACAGCACATGTCCCAGAGGGAGTGAGCCAAGATTCTCTTTTAGTCTCTATACTTCATAAGTAGGTCAGCAATCTGTACCCTCTTCACTGTCTCTCATAATGACGTTGAGGAAATGCTTCTCAGATCAAAGTTTTTATGTCACACTTGAAAAACACCCTGAAAAAACTCTTAACTCTGATAAGGAGGGACAGTGGCCTTTTCAAGACATTCTATATATCTCAAACGTATAAACCTCCCTGGATAAACAGGTCAACTATTTAGCTAGAAATATATTTAAGGATACATTTAGCCCAGAAAATACTTTTTTTTTTTTTTTTTTGCTTAATTGTTTATTAATTGTCTGTTTTGTGATTAGTAGAGTTCAGATCACAGCTGATCAGATCAGTTATTGGCGTTTCCCTTTCATTTACTTATTTTTTATGCTCTTTTTATTATTTACTAGCTTTAATTAATGAATGGCAGGTTTGTTTGGGTAAATTCCTCAAATGTCAGTGATGCACCAATTGTGTCATTTCCAAAAACCCAGCACTTGTGTTTTTTACAACTGGCAAGTCATGATGGTTAAGTGTCACTCATGGTGTGTTACACGTGTTTTTTTCCCCAGACTTCAATAGAGGAATTGTTTTTACACAATGCTTGAACAATCATTGAGAAATTGGTTTAGGGGGCTCTTTTGATTTGATGCCCGAACTCTGTTGACATTGGTGGAATAGCAAGTCGCTTTGCTCCACATTGAGATGTGACAGTAATTCCTGTCTTGGGCAGTCTTATGTGTAATCTACAGAGAAAGAAAAAAACATTTGCACATAATTAGGACCCTAACAAAGTCCAAACCTTTCAATGTGCGTGTTATTTAGCAAACTATACACACTACATAATAGTTCACACTTGGTGAGGCATGACATGAAATCAAATTTCTTAAATTTAAACATGGAATCAAGACAAACTGAATTAAGAGTGTATTGATGTTTTATATCTTATATAATCAAGTAAAGACATCAGAAACATTGAAATCATAATAAATACATGTAACACAATCAAAATGTACTACAGTTATACATAATTCATTTAAGAGCATGATAATGTTATTAATTCTATTATAAAATAGTATAGATAAATACATTATTACAAGAACACATACTATGTGTTTGTATTTAATTACACAGTATATGACCAAAAAAGGTCTAATAGAGTCAGTCATTGTTCATGACTACAGAACGCATCATAATGTTTAAAATTATTTTTATTTAAAATGCATAATAAATTATAGCATCTTTAACGTTGGTTCTCATTTCCTCTGCTTGCTATTTTTTCTGGTTTTGCACCTAAAAATGAACAGAGACATTTTGTATTATAATGTGTGCAGAAAAAAAACATTAATAAAGCAATAAAACAATTTTTAATGGGGGTAAAACAAATGAATGTTTTGCTAAGAAATATAACAAATGTTAAATACACATACTTGTACTGGTTCCAGTCACTCCATGAGGAATTACAGAATTCATCCCTCGCTCTCACACACACCGTCATCCCTTTTGTCACTGGCAGCTTGTGACTTTGTGTGAAGAAAATCTGAGCAAAACAAATATTAATATATTTCCAGGTCTGACTAAAAATAATAATAGTTTTAATAGTTAAAATTTAAGTCTTGCTTTCACAGAAATAAATTACATTTTAAAATATACTAAAATGTAAAATAATTTGTAACGATTGTAATGATTTTCACAATATTACTGTTTTAGGGTGTAAATGCACCCTAATTATTCCAAACATTCTTTTGAGCAGTAGTGTGTGGGGTTACCTCTTGTGAGTTCGGTTTGGAGCAGTCACAATTGTCATGTTTCCGACAGCGAATCTCTTTCACTTGAAACATGAGAGGGAAGTAGGATGATGGTGTGCTCCAGGAGTGTGGATATTTGACCTCTACGGATGTTTTATTGATCCTACTAATAGGCACCATATCAGGCCTCACTAAGAAGTGCAGAAAAAGATTGTTTCATATTCAGATGAGCGGCATTCTAATTCAATATTCTAAGACCCCATCTTAGCGATTTGTGAGAGCTCACCGATATCCATGATGTAGAACTTTGTATTGTAGGATTCAACAACAAAGCTGCTTCTGAAGTATATGGTCAGGTTGATGCGCTCCACCTCCTCTGCATAGGGACAATAGTCATGGTCTAAGCATGTGATATTCCCACTGGAATCCAGACTGCAGCTGATGTTGCTTCCACCAGGGCTGGAACAGAATCAGTCAAGTTTTTTTATTTATTTTTTTTCTCCACACCTCTTACATCATTGCAGTTTGCAGAACCTAAAATAAGATGGAGAAACTTACCGTGAGGCTTTGATATGAGCAACATGGCCATTCCTATTTACATCCCATGTCCAATTACATTTGAAGGAACCTCCATAGTTATTTGTTGAACAATCGATGTAACCTTGTTTGGTAATTCAATAAAAAAAAAATATATATAATAAGAATTAAATAAAACAATTATATAATACAATTATGAAACTGAATTTAATAAAAAAGAAACAAATACATTTTATAAAAATGTATAAACACTACTGTTCAAACATTTGGGGTCAATTTATTATTATTATTATTATTATTATTATTATTAAGAAATTAATACTTTTATTTAGTAAATTGATCAAAAGTGACAACACAGGCTTATATATTTGCATATTTAATTTATAAATTTAATTTATAATTTGTAAATTATTTAATTTATATATGTAATTTATAATGTTACAAAATATTTATAATACAAATAAATGCTGTTCTTTTGAACATTATATTCAAATAATAATAAAAACATTTTTTTCAAAAAATAAAAATTAAAACTACTAAGTAGCATACTAATTTTTAACATTGATAATAGGAAATGTTTTTGAATCAGCATACAGCATATTAGAATGATTTCTGAAGGATCATGTGACACTGAAGACTGGAGTAATCACTGTTTAAAATAAAATAAAATAAATTAAAATACATATCATTTTTATTGTAATAATATTTCACAGTTTTACTGTTTTTACTCTATTTTTGTAAATTAAAATAAGTAAAGCCTTGATGAGCATAAAAAAATGACAAATCTTACTGACCCCAATATATTTTTCTACAAACTACATGGTAGAAATTAATATTTACTGTAAAATGTTTCACTGCTG